TGAAATCCCAGTTGGGTTTGGGTTTTGCCCTAAACCCTAAACCCTAAACCCCTAAACCCTAAACCCCTAAACCCTAAACCCTAAACCCCTAAACCCTAAACCCCTAAACCCTAAACCCTAAACCCTTTAATCCCTAACCCCATTAATCCCCACAAAACCTGAGGGAAGATGTCCCGGGCACGGGCTCTCGAGCGTGGGTACGGCGCCTCTGGGCCCGTTGTCGCCTTCGTCCAGTTCGCAGGCTTCCTGTGCAGCAATATAATATAATATTATGTTATATTATAGTATATTATATTATGTTATATTATATGATATAATACTATATAATATTATATTATATTATATTATAATATATTATATTATCTTATTTTTTATTATATTATATAGACAGAGTTCTACACATTCTACACTCTAGAGTACTCGGGTTTAGGGATGAGCCGAGGACTGTGAAATGAGGCATAGGGACGGTAGAGGTGCAGGGAGGCTGCATGTAGCATATTGCAGCTGCAGAGTTTAGCCGGCAAGCCCTCGACAGAATGCCTGAAGCCTAGATTTTCCTAGACAAGGTGAAAATGCCAAACGAGCATGACGGGTTGGGATCGCTGAGAATGTTTTTGGATGTTTTTGGCAAGACAGGTTTTTGGCAAGACAGGGTGCTGCGTCCGTCCCTGTTTCAGCTCATGCGCATCGCAGCCCACCGCCGACTGGCACCGAGCTGGTTACACGTGGCAGAACCGAAAGGATCGCAAGGCAGACCGATGCCCAAATTGTACATACAAGGAATGTGCGCATGCGATGCCGATGCATGCCCACCAGAAAAATATCATGTTCAACCCAGCTACAGTCCCGGTGGTCATGCCTCCAGTCGCAAGGATTCGACGAACCTTCCCCAGCGATGCTTGGAGATCAGCGGCATGGATGTTTCGTAGATGATGATGCCCCGCGTCCTGGGAGTACCACCGCAGACGGAGGGTGTCAAAAGCACGGAAGCTTGCTTGAAAAGCGTGTCAATGGAATATGAGGCTTCAAAACCTACACCACCACGCAACGGATACAGATTGCAACTTCAGATGCTGTCCGAAATCTCTTCTGCCGTCAAGTATGCGTCATGGGACGTGTGAGTAACAAGCCCTCGCGCGCACACCCACGCACAATGCAATCACGGCACCAATCGAAACTGCGAGAACCCGAGTGGTTTCTGAAAGGCTCCAGGTGAGTCCATAAAGGACAACGGGTTCACTTGTTGCAGAATCGTTGCAATCGGGCATTGCCGCGGGCGTTGTGGAAGATATCATTATACCGCTGGCACAGCTGCGCCACCATGAGGTTCCTCAGAAATCAAGAATCAAACAGCATCTGAAATGATCTGTACGCAGGCAGCCGAGATTCATCAGGTACACGTGCCAACAGGCGGCGAAAGCCATGACGAACCTTGGTTTCGGTAGCCCAGAGACAAGCGAATAGCGACAGGCTATACTGAATGCTGCTACTGTCATCTGCCAGCTGCATTCAATACCCAAGACTTGCAGACGACTTGAAAGCTGAGCCACCACTTCAGCATCGGCTCTCCGGCGGTCGAAATTTCCTCAAAGTTGCCGCTGCCGTAGGTGTTGAAAGCCATGCCCCTCACCGAAAGCGCATGTCTAGCGGGGTTGCACGAACCAGTGGTGGAGCTTTAGCTTCAGAAGGTTGCACTTGAGGATGGCAGCGCGCTTCAAAATTATCGGAAACGAAGATATCGTCTGAACCCGAAGACTTTGTGTTGCTTAGAGAAGTTGTAGTCTCTGTCCACTTATGCTTGTGATGGCTGTGGCGCAACCAGTTTTGCCGCTGGCTCGACGACCAACCGGTAACAACATAAGAGCATCTCGGCCAGTGAAGTGATGCCCATCCTGTTAATGTCTGTACTGAGGAAGTAAGTCTTGTTTCGCTTGGCTTTACACTCCTGTCGCAGCCCATCCGGCAACGACGGAAGCCACATCAGAAACTTCATGCGACGCGACCGTGGGTGTGCTTTACGACCACAGATTGCAGGAAGGTCTTAGAAGGGACAGACCAGTCAAGATAGCCCGGGACCAAGAAGATTATATTAAATATTAAATACAATATATTATATATTATGTATTATATATTATACATAATATAGTACATTATATATACATATATGTCTTGGCACTGAGCCAGCGGCAGCATGGACTCGAAGGCTGCTGGCATGCTGTTAAAGTCCCGCATCCTTGGGCTCGTTCGCTGCTGCGCGTCTGCGGAAAGCAGCAAAACTGGTCCGTTTCTTGGGTCCGAAGTCCAAGCAGCTGCGCGGATTCTGCTCCACCAGATTGAGGTAAGCAAGCGACCTCAGCATACTGCTTGTGGCACCAACGAAGAGCAAACACGAGCATCGGAAGCAGCGCATTCTCTAGGAAGCAATCATACAAACAAGACCAACGTTAAGACAGAGGTCCCAGGATCCTAGGCAAACCACACAGCGTGTTTGTCAAGGCATGCAGTGGATGCCCTTATCAAGGAACGTTTGGGTGTAGGGTTCAGTGCTGCTTCCGATGACAACCACTCTGTGTGTCAGGATTTGCCATTCTTCCGAAGAGAGTTGTGAGTCGTGAGAAAAGCTGGTGTTCAGTGCCCGCAGCCTAGCTCGTGGTTAGAGGCTATGTGAGTGCACGTGTGACCTGGCCACTCTTTCGGAAGGCTACCTGTGGACAGCCTCTCTGCGCTACCTACATGACATTCCGCTTCCAAGAAAGCAAACGTCGGAAGTGCCAACACACAACTCGCGACCTGAAGCAGCGCAACAGAAATTCCTCGTCTACTTCGCTACGCCGGCAAAGTCTGAACTGGAAAACCGATAGCCCAAGACACTCCTGCAGCAAAGGTGGCCGCAAAAAAGACCAGAACTGCGAGATACAGCATAAACTCCCACCTGGGTTCCCGCTGTAAGCAGGACATGTTGCTTGACTGCAATTCCGAATCAGGTGCACGTATTGAACATGAGTGTGGCATCTGCAAAGCCTGTCGCGGCGACTCTACAGGCATGCAGCAAGTGCAAACCTTCCTGCTTCGTGACAAGCCGCCAGAGGCTTGCGCAGATCACGCTGAAGACGGAGAGCTGCACGTGCAAGTGAACCAGCCTCACAACGAAATGCGGATGAACCTCTGGGCCACAGCCGGCACCAAGGACTGAAGCGATTCCAAAGCTCGGACGTGAACCATGGCCATGTCCGCTCCCTTCCAAACACAGCAACAGCGCCGCTTGAGAAGCCCCGAAGCTTCAATCCTCACCTACAAAGCCACAGTCGCGGACCAAGCGGCTCGGAGGCGAGTAGAAAGTAGAGCAGCATTGGGAAGGCGGCGAGGCGGTTGTAAAAGTTGTTGATGCTGCCTTTGGATGACAGCCGTCGCGGTGGTATGCAGTCACTTCAGTTGCCGTACCCTGGGGTCACTGACTCATCGCAAATCATCTCTAATTATATCGTATTATACCATATTATGCTACTCTACTATACTCTACTCTACTCTACTAGACTCGACTGTCCTACACTCCACCATACTGTACTATACGATACGACACTATACAATACTGTACTATACTATACTGTGCTATGCCATGCTATGCTGGCACTACGCCAAGCAATGCTGACTTGACTTGGCCTGACTTGGCTTGCTATACTGCACTTTAGTCTGTTCTATTCCATTTGATTATATGATTTTCTGCTTTAGTATGTCAACCGGTTGTGCTACGAAGTGCTACTTTCGCAGACCTTAGCTGCTTGCTCGCACGCGCAATACTCTGTCGGGAGGCCTTTCGTCGGGCGTTTTGAAAGGATTCCTGAAGCTCACAGAAGTCCTGGGATCAAAGGCCTTCATGACATGGCCAAGAACTGGCAGCTGACAACAGATCATTCAAGAGCCGAAAGAAGGCTTTGACGAAACACCGCCCAAATATGTGCCTGCGGACAGCTGAGTGGATGACGGAGGCAAGTATGAGGCATTTTCGCTCTTCATATGGATGAGCATCGACTCCTTCTTGCATTTACAAAGCCTCTATCCACTCCCAAGCAAGCTGCCCGCGCTAAGCATGTTAGGGAGCTGCATGAAGCTGTAGCGTGTCATGAGGTTGTCTTCTCAAGGTATCTGAAAATGACTCGAGAACGAGTTTGAACCTGCAACTTATCTAGCCGCACAAGGCAACCGCTTATCCACTACTCCCCCACCACCTCAACCAGAAGCTGTCCAGGACAAAACCATACTGGGCAAAGCCATGTCGAACAACAGACTGGAGCCGGGGTGCAGTACCACTCCCCGTACTCGCAACAGTCCACCAACAGTTCATTGCCTGGTCCGGGGAGGGAGAGTCCGGCTTCCGGCTTGTGCCTCGAACCAGCAGGGCCCCTTTAGAATCTGAGCTGAACAACTTGACTGGGCATGTAAAGCGAGAGAGCCACTACCGTATTGGCTCAAATAGCCACAGGGGATACTTCGACTACAGGGGATCTCTGTTGCTGCGACCTGGAGCCTCAAGTACCAGTGAACTGCCGAAGGCGAGATCTGATATCGGTAGAGGCTTTAAAAAAGAAGATCCCAGAGGCCTCTGGCGCAAAAAACCTGGGCTCAGCCCTTTGATCTCCAAAGCCTGGCCACCAAGACACTGGCGGAGAGGCAGTGCAGCACTGGCTCGCAGCAAAGCATGCCTCCAGTGAAAGTGCTTGCTCGCGTACACACACACACATATATTCACTAATTAGACTGTCCGTCTCGCTCTTTTTTCTCTCTGTCAGCTACGAGGCTACATGCATTGCATGCTCTCCAAGGCCGCAAAGCCCAAGCACTCTGCCATCCAAACAACCGGATTGTTGGTCCCAATGACATTGAACTCTCAACGTCTCTTCCCGTATGGAAAGTTGCTAGCCGGGACGCACAGAAGAAGAATGAGAAGTATCACTTCAGTCATCTCCTGCCCAGACCTGACAGAAGCGATCTGCGGTAGGAACGCCACGAGGACGTCGCACGGCTACGAAAAGCCATGTAGTTGTGGAATAGCTTTCGCAAGGCCCACAAGGCCCATCAACGGACGTTACTTTGGAGAATTCACAAAGGCTTCCAAGTCGAAGGCCACAGACCCTTCCCTTTTGCAGGCAGAGACTCTGCAGCAAGTAGGATGGCAAATGACAGCGCCAAATGAAGCGTCTCGTTTGCCTGAGCGGCTGGAATGTGGATGACTACACAAACTCAGTGAAGTAATTGTTATACTATACTGTACTAGACTAGAATACACCATGTTATGTTATATTATATCATACGAATCATACTATACTACATTAGCAGCTGCAAATCTGAAACTAACAGAGCCGAGCTTACTTCGCGCGAAGCGCCCGCCAGCTCTGGACCGCGTGCTTCACCAGGAGTTGGCCCAGGCTGAAGAAATACCTCTTGGGCCGGAATGGAATAGTTGGGGTTAGGGGTTTAAATTCATATCGAAAACAAGGTTTGGGGTTTGGGGTTCAGGGTTTGGGCCGATTTAGGGTTTGGGGTTTAGGCTTCAGGTTATGGGTTTGTTAGTAATGGTTGCAGAGAAGGCTTAACCGGGGTTTGCTCAGATC